ACTTTATTATCATAAAGACAAAAATCTTTTGAGAATGTCTGTTTTTTGGGTTGGCAAAAGGATCAGCGGAAAGAGTTCTTTGAAAATCTAAATTATATTTCAAACTTATAAATTATTAAGGGCAGATTAAATATTTTTTGAAATGTTTACATTACTAAATATAATATAAATTTTGTAATATAATAAAGATTAAAATCAATACATTTACATATATGTTTTTAAAATTATTTTTGATTTTTTTAAAAAATTCAATTTTATAATATTTAATAACAAATGTTTTTAATAACATTCAATATAATAATAATTTTTATTTATATATGCAATTAATTTTTATTTTAGCAATATATAACAAATAGTATAAAACTTAAAAAGTGTATACAAAAAAGGTAAAAAATAATTTATTATATTCTAAGATCAATGCTCTTAATAAGAATAATAAATTTCATTGTTTATAAATATAAGATTTGTTAAAAATGATCCGGATTTATTATAATGATATTAATATAATTTAAAAAAGTACACTATAATTAATGAAATTTTTGATTCATACAATTTCATTTTATATTATAGTGATCCTTGCAACTTGATTACATATCCTTTAGTTGCCGAGATGTTTTCAATTAGAGTAAGTAGTAAGATTTCCATTTTTTTCTTTTAATATCTTATATTGTTAGGGTTATAGACGAACCCAATTTGTTCATAATTAACGACATACAGTCTATTTTCTCTAATGAGTATATTCAGCCCTTGTAAAAAAATAATATAAATAAATTATTAAACATTACAATACCAAGTAACATGATCATCATTCTTGAAAAAAATGTTCAAAATAACATGGTCATAATTCTTCGCTAAACAAATGTTCAATTTCTCTAATTAATCCATCCACGAATGCTTGATCTGTACATTTAAGCTCAACCTTAATGCTTGCTTTCATGTTGCTGGATTCATCTTCGTCCACCATCAATTGTTGCTCGGCAAGTAGCTTAGCCAAGCCTACAACTTGGTATCCTTGAACACTACTACCATAGATTGTTATCGCCCCCGGCACTTGTTCTACGATATGAGTCCCAGTAGCAAAAGACGTCAATCGTATCATTTCATTCTGGAAAGCTTGTTCAACAGAATGGATCGTTGCATTAAAACGAATGGTCGTTGATCCAGTAAATGGAAAATCAATTTGAGAAATTAAATTAGCAAATTGTTCAGGACTTGTACGAGGTATATTTAGCATAAACACCGCGAGAGGTAATTCAAATCTGATAGGAATGTCGTGACTTGTTTTATTTTCATCAGACTATCAAACAATAATTGGATATTAGATCTTTGTAAATTATAGAAATTTCATAGATTTTTTCGGTACCTGTGTTGTATAGGTTATATTTCCAGAAACGGTTAGCCCTACACCTACTATCCCAAGAACTTTGAACTCAACGCTCATATTCCTTTTTTCTTCATATTGTAAATCACCTATTTCTATTAATGTATTGTCGAACTGAATGTCCGATGTCGATTCGAATGTAAATGTAAACTGTGAAAACGGGACACGGAGAGAACATTTGTTACGAATAGAGAAGTTAGCAATCAGCGTCGGAGGTTCGTTCGTGTTTTCTTTTAAAGAAGCCAGATTCAACGTGAAGACCTTCACAAGTGAAAGAACAGTCAGTCATATAATACGTTGGGGGAATTACTATGAAAAGGTAAAAGATTGCACTTACTATTTGAATATCATCCGAATCGACTAATGTCTTAACTGGTGTTGCGTTAACATGTGTTTCTACAATATTTGTGTCGTTCTTAGTTTCTTCTGATGTGGTGATACGCTCGGGTATTGTGGTACTTTCCGATTTCTTTAACAAGATAACAAAATCAAATATGTTATGGTTTATTAATTAAACAAATAACTAAAATAAAAAACAATTAATATACTAATAGTCAAACCTTTTTACTAGATTTTTTCACTTTTTTCTTTTGAGAATTAACTTCATCAGTTTTCTTTTTCTTCGATGTCTTTTCCACTTTCTTTGATCTTTTATCCTTGTTTTCGGTGCCTTTCGATTTGGATAATTTTTCGGGAGGTTTCGAGGTTTCTACAGGAGTCTTTATT